TAACAAATATCTCACTTAGCAACAGAAAGTTTGGGGTCAACTGTGGTCGTTATGTCGAGGGCTACCTGTATACATTTGAACTGCCTGGATTTCCCAATTTCCCGCGCTTGATCCTGATGGTGTGACAAACCAAGAAATGATAATAATAGACAAGCAACCAACCCAGAATTTGCGCCGTGCATTTTGTACCGTAGATGTATGTCGAGAATAACGCACTTCCGCCTTTCTGGAATTTGACCTACCGCAAGACGGAGGAAGTGAGGCCTTCTGGGGAGATGATCTTCATGTTGGTGTTGTGTAACACACTGGGCCGCTGCTGAACGTTCTCCTGTGCGCGAGGGGAAACCGGGGAGTGTTTGTGAGAGTGTGCGGATGTACGGCCGCTGCTGTGCTCGGTGCCTGTCGTAAAAGATGGAACGGAGGCAAAATGAGACGGTGCGGAGGCCCCTCCTCCTTCCCGTCCGAGGTGGTGGACCTCTGCTCATGAACTCACCTGGCCTCCAGATGGGCGCGTGCTCCACCGTGGCTGTGCTGGTCACAACCGATTTCTTGCGTTCCTTTTCACGGTCCCGTTCTTGCTCCCGTTCGGAAACCGGGGGTCCCGTCTTGGGTAAATGTGCAGGGGTACCTGTGAAGCACAGACTGGGTTTTTTCCCCACTGTGGATAAGGCGCTCTAGAGCTGCTTTGCTATTTCATCCACCATCGTTGTCCAGCAAAAAAAGCATTCAGCTTGAAAAATCTCTGATAAAAGCCCAGAATTGTAAGGTCCTTGGTGCCCTCCCAGCTTAAAGAGCACTAATAATGCAACTCAGTTGGGTCATGAAATGTCTGCAAGAAAACCATACAGCTCAGGGAACACCAAGGACCCCACAGTTGTTGTCCTCGTCCTCCTCCTCCTCTTCCTCCCCTCTCTCTCTCCCTCCCCCTCTCCCTCCCTCCAGAAACCCATTCCCTTCTAGCACTGATAATGTAACTCAGTTGGGTCATGAAACGTCTGCAAGAAAACCATACAGTTCAGGGAACACCAAGGACCCCACAGTCGTCGTCGTCCTCCTCCTCCTCCCGCTCTCTCTCTCTCCCTCTCTCTTTCCCTCCCCCTCTCCCTCTCCTTCCCTCCAGAAACCCCATTCCCTTCTAGCACTGATAATATAAACGTCTGCAAGAAAACCATACAGTTCAGGGAACACCAAGGACCCCACAGTTGTTGTCGTCGTCCTCCTCCTCCTCCTTCTTCTTCTCTCTCTCTCTCTCTCCCTCTCTCTCTCTCTCTCCCTCCCCCTCTCCCTCTCCCTCTCCCAGAAATCCATTCCCTTCTAGCACTGATAATATAACTCAGTTGGGTCATGAAACGTCTGCAAGAAAACTATAAAGTCCTTTTCCTTATCCTCCTCCTTCCTCTCCACAAACACCACTCCCTTCATGTACTGGTGATGTTCCTTGGTTGGGTCTACAAAAAAACCACCAAGCTCAGAGAGCACTAAGGACTCCACCGTTCAACCCTGAGTTACAAATATTCTCTTCTATTAAAACCCAGAATGCAGAATATTGGTAGGGAACCTGAAGTCTTCAGATCTAAATGAAATTCTGGTCATCCACTTCATCCTCCTTCCTCTGCTTTGCCTTGTTCTTTTTTTAGTAGCCTATTTCTTCTTTGCATTCTCCTTTCTTCTTTCCCTTCCCTAAACTTTATTTTCAAAATATTGCCACACACGTGTCCCTAACACGCTCATCCAGGATTAAGGTGTTCTTGAACATGGGCAGTAAGACTCAATCATACTTAACTCTGGGCTAACCTAAAGCCGTGGCTTGTGGGTTTTTTTTTCATTTGGGTGATACCAAGAAGCCACCAGGTGGCCTCTCAGGATGATAAAACTGGTTCCAGCAGCCCACAAACCCATACTTCTCAGTTGATTTGGACCTGCCTGGTCCCTCTTCTACCGTTCTTCTCCAAGAAATCACCACCTACTTCCTTCAGCCAATCTAGAACAGGGCTTTTCAACCAGTGATACCGGTACCACCTGTGGTACATTGGCACCTGGCAGGTGGTACGTGAGCATCCTAGAGTAGTAGTAGCAGGGGAGGGGAATGAGCTGAACCGGTGGCAGCACCGCACAAGCCTGAGCGAGAGACGGCTGGAGCTGCAGGGCTGTCAGGGCTCAGCGGAAGCGCCAGGATCAGCGCTTCTTCGGGGTTGTCAGGGCTCAGTGGAAGCACCAGGATCAGCGCCAGGCTCCAGCTGGAGCTCGGCACTGATCCTGGTGCTTCTGCTGAGCCCAGAAGAAGCGCCGATCAGCTGGAATGTTGCAGCCTCTCCAGGGTCTTGTGATTTACATTCAGATGCTTGGCAACCGATTCATATTTATGACGGTCACAGTGTCCCAGGGTCATGTGAAGTGACCAAAACCTGCTGCAACCACCCAGCAGACGGGGGGGATAAAAACCAAACACCCCCACCCCACCCCTGCTGCCAATCCTCAACAGAAATGCTCACAATGAAAACCTCGGACAGGAGGAAGAGCGCCGCTGGGTGGGCAGGCAGGTGTCTTGCTTGGCTGTGGCTTGGGGGGCACTTTTTTCAGGGCCATTGTAACTTCGAACAGTCACTAAGCGAACTGTTGTAAGTCGAGGACTACCTGTACTTCATCACTTTTTTCCTTTTTTTTTTTTTGGTCATCAAGTTTTTGACACCCTGCTAGGCGACTGGTGGTACTCGGATGTTGCCATATCCTAAAAGTGGTGCAATGGTTGAAAAGGTTGAAAAGCCCTGGACTAGGACACAGCCTTCTTCCTTCCAGCTTGTCTTCTCTTGTTCTCGTTTACCTCCACTCTCCCTCTCTGGACCCTTTTACCCGTACACAAGGTGGATCTCCTTGCCAGGCAGTTCCCAAAGAAGGATATTTTGGAAGCATCTCACATACTTCAGGTTCTTGGTTCCCTCCTGACTCACCTGGAGACAGGGGTGAGCTACTGTGTCGGCCGCTAAAAGGCTGGGCAGCGCTGTGCATGTAGGTGATCCGGTCCATGGAGGCTGCAGAGGCGCCCGGGGTGGGGGGCACGAGCACAGGGAGGTGTGGTACTTGAGACAGGTCAATTATCCCTGCTGGGAAAAGGAGATGTTGGTTAGGAACAGAAGGGGGAGCCCAACTGGGCAGTGTCCTCTTTAAGGCCATGGGGCTTAAGTTTGTCAGGCTGGTCTGCTCTGAATTCTCTGAGTTTTTGCTTCCGTTGTGTGTGTGTGTGGGTGTTTCTTCTCTTTAAGAGTCAACTCATGCCACGGGGCTCCCTTCAAGAAGAATCTTGTGGCCAAACCAACCAACAGCTTTGCTGAGAATGAACAACTGGCAAAGAAAGACAGAACGGGACCACTTGCCGCAGAACAATTCAACAAATACAAAACTTAAAATTAATTTTGACAGAACAGTGGCCAATGATATTAAAATAAAGTCAACCAATTGAAAAAAATGATGACTATTTAGATTTGGATGCTTTTAATAATTAATGGAGTGTTTTAAATTAGTAGGACGACCTTTTTGTACGACAACAAAGACGTGATAAGGCATGGTAAGCAACTGGAGAACATTTGAATTTTGTTTGATGAATTTGAATGAATTAAGGTTTAATATTATCTCGTTATTTTAAAGAGATGGATTGATTCTGGGATTATGTATGTATAGGGCTGATTAATATTTTACTGTTATTAAGGATATCTATTGTGTAGTGGAAGAAGAAATAAATGAGATTGGTGATAAAATGAGGGATGTGAGAGATTAAGAATTAGAATTGATAATTTGTTGTTTTAAACTTAAACTATGGTAATTGTAAACTGATAAAAGTTATAAAGCAGGTTTAGTAGTAATAGAAATTTAAAATAGAAATGGAATATTTAAACGTATCATGTTAATTGAGGGAAACAGAGAGGGGATAGTGAAATGTATTGAGCTGAGTTGTCTATATATGTCTTTACTTTTGAATGTTTGACCACCCAACCACCACGGTGGGTCCTGAGTACTTTTTCTTAAGAATTTAAAAAAACCAATAAAATGTGTTAAAAAATAATAATAAAGTCAACCAGAAATACAAGAGTTAGATTAATTTTGACAAAAGCGTGGTCACCAATAATGAAAGTAAATGAATGATGAATACAACATTGAGGTGTCCCGAAGCGAGTTGGCTGCGGTGAATTGTCCCAGACCCAAGAAAGGTGTTGCTTTTAAAGATGGTTTAAGAATGTAGGGCAAGGAACCATCAAGCCAACATTGTCCTCTACAGGAGCGTCCCCCAAACTTCCTGGCTTTGTGGACCAGCGGGAGGGGGGGGGCAGAGGGGATGGCTCCACGTAAGCAGCGAATGTGTGTGCATGCAGCTCCATTTGCGTGAGCAGCGGGCATGCACGTACGCCGCTTGCACAAATGGATCTGCCAGGTGCACGCTCGCTCGCCACTCATTCAAGTGGAGCTGCGTGCAGCACTTGCCCACCACTTCCGTGGCCCGGTTCCGAACGGGCCGCAGCACGGGGGTTGAGGACCCCCGCTCTACAGCCAGTAGAGACTCTGCTTGATGTCTGTTCCCATAACAGCACAACACAATTGATGGAAGTCATTCTTCTAAATCAGGGGTGTCAAACTCAATTTCATTGAGGGCCGCATCAGCATTGCGGTTGTCCTCGGGAGGGCGGGGGTAGGCGTGGCCAGGGTGGGTGCGGCCTACTGGGTGGGCGTGGCCAGCTCTACATCATTTGCGTCAAGGGTGCCTGTGGGGGTCTGGGCAGGAGTGGGACAGATCTGAGGGTCTCTGGCAGAAGGGGGTGGGACCAGGGCAAGCACCAAGGCATGGTCCACTGGAAGAGCCTGCCGAAACCCCTCCCCATCAAGCCAGGTATGTGAAGTAGGCGAGGGCCATTTGCTGGCCACTTCCAGGCAATGGTCCATTTCTTCATTCCTCACAAAGGGTGACACCTCCCCAGCATGCACCCAGGGGGCGGGGCCAATGCGGCAGGGGCCGGTCCCTCGCTGTTTCCAGACGGCCTTGTGGAGCTAGGACTGAATGGTTTCAGCATAGATGGCCACCACAAAATTGTACATTGGCTCCCGGCCGGCCTGGGCCAGGGCCAAGGCAGCGGGGGCTGTTCCCTTACTGTTTCCAGGATGGCTTCGCGGGCCACATGAAACCATGTCGCGGGCCGCATCCGGCCCCCGGGCCTTGTGTTTGACATGTCTGTTCTAAATCATTGTGTCTTGTCTCAGACCCGTCACGATCCACCGTCTCATGGGTGTTTGTGCAAACAAGTCTCCAACATGGCTTCCCCTCCCACCTGGGCACCCCACGGATTCCAGACCTGCTGCATAGTTGAGAGCCATGGAAGGCTCTCGTGGAGACAAGCCACGGAGGAGATCAACTCTCTGCGCCATGGTAGTAGCAGTGGCAGCGTTGTGGTGCATCTGTTGGGAGGTGATGTAGTCGTTGATGATGGTCTGTCTGTTCTCCATGGCGGCAGTGTCCGGGTAGCCACGGATGAGGTAGGGCGGGTAGAGATGGGGGTACGTAGGACCAGGAGCAAGGTGCCTCGGCAAGTAATAGGCAGCTGTTGAATCAAGCAGAGATGAAGAAGGGATAGAGATTAACAGAGGGATAGAATCAAGATCACGTGAAGTATTAATACCACTTTACAATGCCTTGGTAAGGCCACACTTGGAGTACTGCATCCGGTTTTGGTCACCACGATGTAAAAAAGATGCTGAGACTCTAGAAAGAGTGCAGAGAAGAGCAACAAAGATGATTAGGGGACTGGAGGCTAAAACATATAAGGAACGGTTGCTGGAATTGGGTATGTCTAGTTTAATGAAGAGAAGGACGAGGGGGGACATGATAGCAGTGTTCCAATATCTCAGGGGCTACCACAAAGAAGAGGGAGTCAAGCTATTCTCCAAAGCGCCTGAAGGCAGGACAAGAAGCAACGGGTGGAAACTGATCAAGGAGAGAAGCAATCTAGAACTAAGGAGAAACTTCCTGACAGTTAGAACAATTAACCAGTGGAACAACCTGCCTCCAGAAGCGGTGAATGCTCCAACACTGGAGGTTTTTAAGAAGAGACTGGACAGCCATTTGTCTGAAATGGTATAGGGTTTCCTGCCTGAGCAGGGGGTTGGACTAGATGACCTCCAAGGTCCCTTCCAACTTTATTATT